AAGAAAAAAGAAAAAAGAAAAAAGAAAAAAGAAAAAAGAAAAAAGAAAAAAGAAAAAAGAAAAAAGAAAAAAGAAAAAAGAAAAAAGAAAAAAGAAAAAAGAATATTTGCCCAGACTTGGAATTGAACCAAGGCCTCTACAGTATTAGATGTGAGTTTGTCAACATCCTTTGAATAGCAGCAAGCTGTCATTCATCCCCGGACCCTCATTGAGCGTGCTACCACTACACCAACCGGGCTGTTTGTTGTTGTTGTTGTTGTAGATTGGTGTGGTAGGTATGGTTATATAGATGGGTACCTGCTTGGTTGATAGGTTGGGGGGATGTACCTACAAATGTACCTAACCATACCTACCTGTCTCGGGAGAGGAGTGTCAGTCAGTATGTATAGGTTTGTTCTTGATATTGGCGTGTATGTTGATTGATATATCGGGGGGTACATACGCAGTACTCCTTCCTTTTTTTCTGATTTGTTTACTTTTACTGGCGTTACATAACCGAGTGGGACTCAAGGCTATATCATATCATATCACAGATGACGCCCCTTTTTCAACAACAACATCAATAAAGTCAAAATCTTCTCCCAAGGTATCTTATATATAATGTAAGAACCAATTATCCAATTCGGTATATCAACACCACCTACCTTAATCATTCAATCAATCTACAAACCCCCCATCCTATCAAGAGCCATAACAAAATCAATCAGCCGACACCCTACACCCTACACCTCACACCTCCAAACCCTCCCCAACGCAATCCAAGCATCCTCATCCTCCCTCTCCTGCCTCTCCACATCCCCCAACAAAGCCGCAAACCCCCCCTCCTTTTCCCTCTTTTCCAAATCCTCCAAGAACCCCTTCACCCCTACATTCCCACCCCTCCTCATGTTCTTTCTAATCTCCCTGTCCAAGAACCTCCAGGCAAGCCCGACCAGCTTCTTCTCGTCGAATCTCGAATCTTTGAATTTACACGATTGTTTCAGATAGGCTATCCAATCGCGGAATCGTCTCCCCGAAGCCAAATCCCGCGCCGTGAAGAAACATGTTTCTTCGGCCGAGAGCCGGGTTGTTTTCTTCTCTACGAGGATCCATGATTTCATGGCTGGTTCGGGGAGGAGGAGGATGGGTTTAGGTGGTGTAGGTGCGGGTTTAGAAGAAGAAGAAGAGGGAGAAGAGGAAGAGGAGGGAGTGGATGAGGATGAGGATGTGGATGTAGTAGTTGTGAGGGCTTGTTTCCGAAATGTCCGATCGACGAGATACATCCTGTCATATAGATTTCGGGATAATTCCATCAAGTATTGAATCTCTTCTTTTAACCCCTCCCCCTCCCCCTCCCCAACCTTCTCGTCTTTCTTTTCTGTAGTAGTGATGGTGTTAGGGCTAGAGTTTGAAGTTTCCAAAACCGTAGCGTCAAGAGTCTGTCTTATCCCCTCTTTACTCGTCTTCCCTGCTCGCGCTTCCAGCTTCAGCATGAATTGCATTACGCGCGTGAGATTTCTTTTTGTTGTGGATAGGGCTTTGGAAAGTTCGAGTTGTTCTGGTGTCTGTGTCTGAATTTGGATTTTGGTAGTTGTGTCTTCTTCCGTGACCGTGTGGACCTTCTCCTTCTTTTCCTTCTCGAGTTTTGAGTGGGTTCGAGACAACGATACTGTATTCCGCCAGTGTTCCACAGCCGATACCTCCTCATCTATCACTACTTTCCGAGGAGTAGGCGGTGGGATGTTTGAAGAGTGGTTTTCCTCATTCCTGTTTGTCGTGGTAGGAAAGGTAGGTGGTTTGATAGCAAGTTTCCGCAACCAATCCCTGTCTTCTTTCTCGATCTCGTAATCATGTCGATTGAAATCAACTTCCGGATGACCCCAGTAATAGATGGAATCCTCGTCGTCTTCATCTTCGTCTTCTGATAGATAGATTGCGTGGTATGGTCTGCTTTTGTAGATGGAGTCTTCTTGGGTATTGTAGTTGTTTCGAGACATGGTTTCGTTTTTTTTTGTTTTTTTCTTGCCCGTTTCTTATTTTTATCTTCTTATTACCTTGTTGTTTTTCTGGTCTTATTTCTAACTTTTCCTGGTGGTATGCGGGTTTTTGTTGCCGTTGCGATATCTCCTAGTTTGGGTATAAAAGCTAATATATTTCCGATTTGTTTCTGTCTCTGGAATGGGTAGATGGGCTGGTCTACCGTCTTTTAAGACAAATTTCCATCAGGCCCCGGTCTTTGTAAACAACCTTTAACATAATATGTTCTTTCTCAAAATATAATCCTTTTGTTCCATTGTGGAGAATACAAAGTAGGCACAACTTCTTCTTTGTACCAAGCATCATAAAAGACTCTTATATTCCAAACAAGGTCTTTGAAACTGTTTACAAAGGGGCTTTGGATAGCAATTTTAAGAACTCGGTAAAAGAAGGTGTGCTAACTTATCGTAGCTGTGCAGCTATAGGGATAGGAAGACTCCCCAACATATTTTCTTCTACGGTCGACTCTAGAAACATAGGTAGGCTAATGCCTACTAGGACCCGGAGAGCGGCCTTTTCAATATTTAACATTCTCTGCCCAACTTAATTCACCACCGACATTTGAGAAGGATAGCCACTCTCAATGTGATGGTAGGAAGCTTCCGGGTGCTGGTGGTGTACGAGTACGTGCGCTGGAGTCACTGTGCGTCCGCCATCCCGTCCTTCGCCCCACCAACGGTACACTGACCATAACAATAAAACGACAAGAGCTAGAACGTAAAAAGTCGTAATAGTTGCTGGGGGAATGTCAATGAATTTAAAACCCCCATATAGGTTAACCAAGACAGCAAGACACGCATAACTGATAACATGGCCAACCTCGGAGCTTGCGAATGCTATGCACAAGGTGCCGAGCAGTGCTTGCGGTTCAACCATATCTGTCGATAGCAAAGCCCAGGCGACTGGCTCGGGGTTAGTGACCGTATATTCACTTTGGGTGTCAAATCGCGTATGGAAACGGGGACTTACGAAAAACAGCAAATTGTCCATGACTTGCCAAGAAAATCAATACTTCCAGCAGAGCACCATCTGCCTTTAGCAGGCCGAGTTTCCCAGCGAAGGCTAGCGAGATTAATATCATTATAATCGGTACTGGGGAAGATTACGTTCAACGTTTAGCAATTGCGAACACCACACAAGTATAAAGTTGTTCCCCGGAACAGATATTTGGACACTTACAATGCCCATGACGGAACCGAGCGAAAAGAGCCACCATAAACAAGGTCAAGACTAATGGGAAGACATATCCAAGCGTTACGTATGGTGGGTTTACGTAACGTGCGGTGGGGTCGGTGGGGTGACGAAATGACCCAGATACTGCAAGCAACAGGAATAAGAGGCCGAAAAGATACGTCCGTGCTGTCTTTAAAAGAGGAAATATCTGTGGCAATAAACTATCAGTAACAGTACAGACTTGGAAAGGGTATCTTTTAAAGGGGTTGAGGTTCAGAGGTTCACATGCCCGAGTATGTGCACCGGAACGGCTGCCCGGACGGTCACCTAGAGACGTAGACTTTCGACTCGTCCACAGCCAATTGACCTGCTCCGGTGTCCGAAGAACAAGAGTGGCGTATCCTGAAAGCAGAATGCAGATGGATGCCCAGACGAGAGGCAATATAGAGACCCTCATGGATCCTGAAAAAATGCGAGGACTTGGTAAGGTCGACAGGAACACGCTGCCGGAAGCCCAGATCACAGTTCTCAGTATCTGACCCCAACCACCATCATACCATAGCCCTGTGAGGTAAACGAAAGAAGGTATGAGGACACCTTGGGCGATGCCATGAACTGCAAGATTCCATTTAGCCTCGTTTTATAACAGTACTGTCAAGTTGCCCAACCTAATGTAGACGTATGTACAAGTACACGTGAAATACCATAAATGAGCGTTGCTCCGAATCAAAGATTTCTCTGTATAGAAATGCATGCGGAATGACTCACAGAAATTTATGGCTAGAAGGCCACCCTTGCTTGCAATAAACGGGTAGATAACGGCAAGGAAACCTGTAATAGTAGTGAGAAATTATAGGTAGGTAATGGAGAGACGCGGATATTTTTGACAAAACCTCTTACCTTGGAGTAGCGTCCCGGCACCAATAACGTGTCCAATATGGCATTTCGCAAACAACCAATAGTTCAGCGGTTGGACCAGCAGAGACCCAACACTTGATAGCACAGAATCGAGGTAAGAGAGTCTGAGGCCCTCATCTGTGAGATTACGCAGGCATACACCAGAAACGAACTGGGAATGTCAGCAACACCATCATGGAGCGACCCATACAAGGCTCCTATGGAACAAATGAACTGCATAAAATCACTTACCCACATAAAGGGAAGAAGAGAAAGGTCCAGCTTCCACTGGGGCCAGAACCCATCTTGCTCTGTTCTTTTGCTAAGACCGGCCGTAACAGGGTCCGCAGCGTTGAGTGTAGAACCGTTTGCACCATGGCCTGTCCTACCGAGCGCAAAGCGAAACCTGTCAACTCGGAACATGCGGTCCAACACTAAAGTCTTCACTCGGATGACAGCCTCGCGAACGAATAAACCCCCGCGCCAGTCATAAGAACACAGAATAGCGCGCTGCATGCCACCTTCGCGTCCGCACACAATGACCGTAGTTGGGGGTCTCGTAGCGCGGAACGCCGTCGCCGTCATGGCGTAAGTGTCGATGAGTGTGAATGCAGTCTCTCCCTCTTGTCTTATCTCTGACACATTGTCGTCGGCACTGCTGTCGAGGGTATTCACGTTTATTGGCCGGAGTCCGACTCGCTCCCCGTCCTTGGATAGTCCGTTACGCGATAATGTGCTCCCCGCGATACTCCATTTGAGCCTGCCATGATTGAATCCGAAGAGGAGCCTCTCGAGTTTGCCGAGGTCATCTGGGATCCCTTGTATCCCCAAAAAATGTGCCTGGGTCGACCAGAATTTGCCCTGGTAGATATTAAGCAGCAAAAGTGGAATTAACAAGCTTATGATGGCTGAGGGGATAACGATTATAAGACCTATGATGAGAAAGGGGCGCGTGACCGCTGAAGGATCGGCATTGGCCGCTGAAGAATCATCGTCACCCTGTGAGTTATTGCCGCTACTTAGGATGCCCGCTGTTATGAGCAGAGGTAGTCCGACAAGCAAGTAGCCCGGCGCGCCACGTAGCAGAATCTTGCCGATTAGACGGCTGATGGTAGCCCGCTTCATAAATGCCACCCGTTCCAGCTTATCCCA